TTTTCAAAATTGTCGTATTCTCTACTAATTGTTTGAAGTCAATGGGTGTCATTCGATAGCTCGACTTGCTTTTCATAACAGCATTTTTCACTCGCATGATTTGATTTGGAAAGAGTATATCAATGCCATGGTGAAATAATAACAAGGTGTTGTCAGTAGCGACGTGTTTGTTGTAATTTTGACAAGATCGGCATGCTTATTTTCAGTGCTGCCGATCTTAATTTTTATAATGCTATTAGTTGGGAAATTGTATTTAAAATACTCCATTTTAGTATTTCATTTTATCGTGATTTTTAAAGAACTTGGTGTTTTCAGAACGATATTAATAATTAAAATTGCTGGATTTGTATAATTTTTGTCCTCAAAATATAAAATATAAAAGATATCGTAGTTATCAATGGAAAAAGACGTACACAAAAATCGTATGGAAAGTCGATTTTTTTATATTAAATATCTTTTGCTGCATTGTCATAATATCGAGCCAAATGGACTACTGATACACTAGAATAGAGCGGCAGCATGGTTAAATTACGACTTCGCTTATATTATCGATATTTATGTGTTTTAATCTATATGTCAGCCGCTGTGGCGTAGTGGCAAGCAGTGCGCGCTCCACTCCGCAGCACCTGGGTTCAAACCCTGGTCAAAGCAACATCGCAAAAAATATAGAAAAAAGGTTTTTTCTTAACAGCGGTCGTCCCTCGGCAGGAAATGGCAAACCTCCGAGTGTATTACTGCCATGAAAAACAGCTTCTCATAAAAATGCAATCGCCGTTCGGAGTCGGCGTAAAACTGTAGGTCCCTCCGCTTTGTGTGACAACATCAAGGCGCACGCCACAAGTCGGAGGAGAAGCTCGGCCAAACGCTAACATATTGTGTAAGCGCCAATCTGTATATCGTCGTTTAAAGTACAAAAGCGCGTACCGGGGTTCTGCAAAACCTCGTAACTGACATTTGTGCCAAAAAACATATTTGCTCACCGGAAGCTCCTGTCATCAAACCCTTAACCATTTATACTAAATATCGATACCTAGCCATAAGGAGAAGAGATAATTAAGTTTAAAAGAGAGAACCGTTTTTAATTAAGAGTAAAACTTCTCTCTCCTGTAAAATTTAGGCAACCTCACATACGAGGTTTTGTATTTTCTTGATGCG